TAAGATACTGCAAAACCTCAACAACAAAAAGACAAATAACCCAATGAAAAAATGGGCAAAGGATATGAACAGACACTTCACCAGAGAAATTACATTCAGGAGGCTACCAGATACATGAGGAAATTGGCACAATCATTAGCCATCAGAGAAACGCAAATCAAAACTACGATGAGATACCATCTCACCCCAACAAGGCTAGTGTTAATCCAAAAAACACAGAATAATAAATGTTGGAGAGGTTGTGGAGAGACTGGAACACTTATACACTGCTGGTGGGAATGTAAAATGGTACAACCACTTTAGAAATCAATTTGGCACTTCTTTAAAAAGCTAGAAATAGAAGTACCATACAATGCAGCAATCCCACTGCTTGGAATATATCCTAGAGAAATAAGAGCTGTCACATGAATAGATACATACACACCCACGTTCACTGCAGCACTGTTCACGATAGCAAAAAGATGGAAACAACCTAGATGCCCATTAACTGACAAATGGATAAACAAATTATGGTACATTCACACAATGGAATACTACGCAATGATAAAGAACAATGATGAATCTGCAAAACATCTCATAACATGGATGAATCTGGAAGGCATTATGCTGAGTGAAATTAGTCAGTCACAAATGGACAAATATTGTATGAGACCACTGTTACAAGAACTGAAGAAAAGGTTTAAACACAGAAGAAACATTCTTTGATGCTTAGGAGGGTGGGGAGGGAGGGAGAGGGTTATTCACAAACTAAATAGTAGAAAAGAATTATCTTAGGTGAAGGGAAGGACAACACACACTACAGGGGAAGTCAGCACAACTGGACTAAACCAAAAGCTAAGAAGTTCCGTGAATACAACCAAACACTTTGAGGGACAGAGTAGCAGGGGCAGGGGTCTGGGGACTATGGTGTCAGGGGACATCTAGGTCAATTGGCATAACAAAGTTTTTTAAGAAAATGTCATCCCATTTTGCTGAGTGGTGTCCGGGGTCTTAAAAGCTAGTGAGCAGCCATCTAAGATGCATTATTTGGTCCCAACCCACCTGGAGCAAAGGAGAATGAAGAACACCAAAGACACAAGGAAAGCATTAGCCCAAGAGACATAAAGGGCCACATAAACCAGAGACTCCAACACCCTGAGACCAGAAGAACTAGATGGTGCCTGGCTACCACCAATCACCGCCCTGACAGCGGACACAACAGAAAGTCCCTGACGGAGCAGGAGAAAAGTGGGATGTAGAACTCAAATTCTAGTAAAAAGACTAGACTTAATGGTCTGACTGCGACTGGAGGGACCTCAGAAGACATGGCCCTCGGACTCTCTGCTAGCCGAGAACTGAAACCATTTCCGAAGCCATCTCTTCAGACATAGATTAGACTGGACTATAAAACATAAAATGATACTCGTGAAGAGAGTGCTTCTTAGCTCAAGTAGATACGTGAGACTAAATGGGCAGCTCCTGTCCGGGCGAGATGAGAAGGGAAGAAGGGACGGGAGCTGGTGGAATGGACACGGGAAATCCGGGGTGGAAAGGGGGAGTGTGCTGTCAACTAGGGTCTCATAATAATGTGTGTATAAATTTTTATATGAGAAACTAACTTGAACTATAAACTTTCACTTAAAGCACAATACAGATAGTAAATCTTTAAAAAAAATTCTTTACATTGAACTGAACTGAATACCAACGGAGCTGTTAAGTGGTAGTCCTGGACCTTTTTGCCTCAAGGTCCTAATTTTTCAAGTGTTTCTAGACCATTTTCCTCTCATCTCACTTATCTCAAAGAGCGAGAGGCCAGGAAAAGGACGAGTAACCAATTCTCGTAAAACTCAGGTAGGAGTAAAAATCATTCCGAGAAACTGTGCAAACCTTACATCCTGGTATCTGACGTTTAGGTCACTGTGTATTTCCTCTGTATAAAGCCCAGGAGGGATCTTTATATTATTGCGTCGAAACCTCGTCTTCTAACAGCCCTCGGTACTAGCTAGCCCTCCGCAGGTGCTCTCAGTTTTTCTTACTTGCTCCTATTCCCAGGATGCCAGGAGATGCCCGGCTGCCGGATCGATATTCCTGGGCAGACCGAGTAACAGTGGGACGCCTCACGAGGTGATCTAGGTCGGGAAAGAAAGAAATGAAACTACAAGCAATAAAGTTTGGTAAAGGAAAAGAAGCCCTCAACCCAACGAGCAGCTGGCAACCTCTCAGCACCGGCTCTTAAAGCCGAAAGGAGAGTTTCCACCCCACTCCAAACTCGCCCCAGCTCCGCTTCGCCCCTCCTCCCCACCCCTCCTCCCGCCCCTTCCAGCACCAGGCCCCGCCCAGAGTCCGCCCTTTTCGACCCGGCGAGCGCCTCAGCTGCCAGTCTTGGTCCGCAGAGCGCTTGCGCATTTCTTAAGGCGTCTTGGCACTGCCGTACTCTAAAGTGAGGGAGTGTGTCTCCGCAGACCTTTCTTCAGACTCTGATACAGCGGTTTTCTGTGCTGTCCAAGAGCTTGTTTAACTTTTTTTGGTCCTGAGAACCCCGATTGTCTATCCTTGATACGATTTATGAGGTCATATTTAAATTAGGCTATCTTCGGACAGCCTGTCTCCTGGAGCTGGGTCCTTGGGCTGAACCTTGGAGCGACAGCGGGGGAGTCGGGGTCCTTTTCTGGGGCAGGCGCGCAGGCAGCGGCTGCGGGAAGTCGGGCACCCGGCATCATGTACTACAAGTTCAGTGGCTTCACGCAGAAGTTGACGGGAGCATGGGCTTCTGACGCCTATAGCCCGCAGGTACGGGTTGCGCCGCCTTGGGTCGGACTGGAGAATTGGCCGCTGGAGCCCGCCGCTCCAGAGAGTTGGCAGAGCTGGAGCCGGGGAAGCTTCTGCCCGCGGTTCAGTTTAGTTTTCCCGTTACCCCCGGCGCCTCTCCACACCAGCTTGCCGCGGTCGTCGAGGCCCGTCTTTTTAGAACTGATCCCCCGACGGGGCTGGTCCTGCGCGGAAGTTGGGCCTGGCACTCGGCAAGGGTCAGGGTGTCCCCCGGGGTCGTTGCTTTTCTAAGCGAGGTGGCTCGTCGGGCTGGCGGGAACCAGAATATGACCTTATGGGGCTGAAATTCTGCACTGTCCTTCTTTTCTAGGAGGTCCGACTTTTCGGCCTCCCCAACGCCCCGTTCCTGTCCCGGTGCCGCAGCCCGAAAGGCAGCCTCACCCAAGCACGAGATTGAGGGCGGGGATGACCGCACCTAGGTGCGGCAGGGGCAGTGGCAGTTACAGGCCAGGAACATACGGTTTTCCAAGTGTGAAATGGTTGAAGGATCCTCGTTATTTGGAAGGTCAGAAAAGGTCACTCAGATTCTACCATTTGGAGTTCAGCCTGAGTAGTGTAGTGTAGATATGAGGGATTTTAGAGTCCCAGACAGATTAGGGCTCAAATCCTGGCTCTGCTGCTTTAATTATGTGACCTTGTACAAGTTAATTTATTGTGAGCTCAGTTTCATCTAGAGCAGTTTTAGTACAAATGAAGTGTGTATCAAGTGACTGGAAGTCTCTGGCAGGTGTTTGGTACTGGATAAGTGGTAATTATTCTCCAGAAGCTGAGTCTGAGGTAATATATTCATTCCTCACCCTAGTAGAGAACCCTGGGAAGAGCTGAAGGGATATGCATGTTGGAAAACGACTGGAGTAGTAAGGGGCACAGGTAGGATGTAAGGGATGCTCCATTACTGTTGCCTTTCCCTCCTTTTCCTGTAGGACCCTGCAGCTTGCCCAAGGGGAAGGATGTTTAAGAATAATTTCAGTCTAAGATTAGGTATACTATTAACTAGGATAAGAAGGGCAAGTTTTTTTTTGTGGGGATGGGGAGAAAGGATCCAGGTGTATAAATGTTGAGCTTGTGATGATGTGCCACGTCTGGTAGCTAGATTTATAAATACGGAGCTCACTAGAGAGATCTGGATGTCTTCAGCCTGTAGCTGGTAGTAGAATTTCTGGTGGAGAGGAGATCACCCAGGGAGAGTGTATAGGGAAGAAAGGTGGGACTAAGATATGAATACAGAAACAGCAGGTAGGGTAGAGAAGGAGAATTTCTCAAAAGAACAGTCCAGGATTAGAAGGGAAACCAACTGTTGCTGTCACTGAAAGCAAATTGGTAACGAGTTCTAAAGAGGAATTGTCCACAGTGTTGCAGTGATTTCTTTTACAGATCATAGGAGAATAGCCATTTCTATCATATCTGCTTCTACTATAAAGAAACTATTTTTCAGTGCATATATCTGAAGTGTTACAGTTTGATGAGTTTTGACAAATGCACACACTCTGTAACCCACATCTCTGAACCTATAGAGCGTTACATCACCTTCAAGTTTCCTCATACCCTTTCCCAGTCAATTCCTGCCCACCTTCCCATTCTGACTTCTGTCACCAGAAATTCATTTTGCCTATATTTGAACTTCATATAAGTGGATCCACACAGTATGTACTCTCCTAGTAAGGCTTCTTTTTCTCAATATAATGTTGAGGTTCGTCCTTGTTACATGTATTAGTAGTTAGTTCCATTTAATTGCTAGGTAGGATTTCTTTGTATGAATATACCACAGTTTAGCTGTTCTGTTTGTGGTTGTAGAAGCTCTTTTAATAGAGCTTTAACATAACCTAGGTTTGTTGCATAGTAAGAAAAAAATAAAATTTTGTACTAAAAGGTGATGTCTTGAAATTAAATTGGCACTCTATAATTGTGTAACTAATAGTAGAGTGGAGGTTATCTTGAAATTCATTTGGTACAGACGGCTTTCAGATTTCTGGCACATCTTGAGTTGTGTGTCTCTTGAGAATTTGAGTTTCTTAAGGATTTCTTAAGCTATGTTGAAAGAAATAATATTGTGTAGGATTTATATGAGTTGTAGATTTAGGAGTGATTGTGGCAGGTTTCCCCCAAAACTTTGGTAATTAAGAATACTTCAGCTTCTCCTTCCTTGGAAACATTAGCACATTGTAAATGGTAGATGTTTATAGCTTAAAATATTAAGTAACTTGAATAACTTAACATGCACTGAATAGCTTAATATGAAACAGCTAGTTTTAATGTAACAATAGCACAGGTAGAGATTTATAAATCAACTTGATGGCAAGTAGTTGTTGGAAGGACATTTTCTAGTGGTTGATTGAAAAGCATTGTCTTAGTTATCTAGTGCTGCTATAACGGCAGTACTACAAGTGGGTGGCTTTAACAAAGAGGAATTTATTTCCTCACAGTAAAGTAGGCTAGAAGTCCAAATTCAGGGCATCAGCTCCAGGAGAAGGCTTTCTCTCTCTTGTCAGCTCTGGAGGAAAGTCCTTCTCATCAATCTTCACTTGGACTAGGAGCTTCTCTGCACAGGAACCCGAAGTCTGAAGGATATACTCTGCTCCCGGCACTGCTTTCTTGGTGGTATGAGGTCCCCCTTTCTCTCTGCTTGCTTCTCTCTTATATCCCAAAAGAAATTGGCTCAAGACACAATCTAATCTTGTAGATTGAATCCTGCCTCATTAATAACTGCCACCTATTCCCCCCTCATTAACATCATAGAGGCAGGATTTTCAACACAGGAAAATCACATCAGATGACAAAATGGTAGGCAGTCACACAATACTGGGAATCATGGCCTAGCCAAATAGATATACATATTTTTGGGGGACACAGTTCAATCCATGACAAGCATTTTCCTTACCTTTCTGTGTCCTGTGTCAAAAATAAATTGAGGCCAATAAGCACATGAACAGCTGCTCAACATCCTTAGTCATTAAACCGAAACCTGTTGCCATTGAGTAGATTCTAACTCATAGTGACCATATAGGACAGACTAGAACTGCCTCATAGGGTTTCCAAGGCTGTAATCTTTACAGAGGCAGACATCTTTCTCCCATGGAGCGGCTGGTGGGTTCAAACCACCGACTTTTTGGTTAGCAGCCAAGTGCTACTGTGCCACCAGGGCTCCTTTAGAGTGCCTGTAATAAAAAGGCAGATAATAACACGTATTTGTGAGGATGTGGAGAAAATGGAATCCTACTGTGTTGCTAGTGGGAATGTGAAATGGTACAAACACTTTGGAAAACAGTTTGACAGTTTCTTAAGAAGTGAAACATAATTTTACCATATTTTACTGTGACCCAGCAATTGCTCTCCTAGTTAGGATGGCAGAACGATATTCTAGGTAAAAGGAACTATGAGAGTGAAGAAGGGTGAAGGGGCTGTGTGGGAGTCATTGAGTAGATAACGTTTGGCTGTGCTGGATGGAGTAGATCTTGAAGGACCTAGGATAAACCAAAAAACCTGCTGGCGTCAAGTCGATTCCTACTCATAGCGACGGTATAGTGGGACTTCATTTTGTTAGAAATAAGTAGGAATTTACAAAGCAACTTGATGGAGATATCTGTGATAGAGTCTCGTCCAGAGGTTGAAATAAGGCCATTCTTCTTACTTTAGTTTTGTGGTGATTCAAGGTTTATGACTAGAGGAGCAAGTGTCGTGGCCAGAGCTATGCTTTGAAAAGATAACCTGACAGGAGTGGAGTAGGGAGAGACCAGAGGCAGGGATGCCTGTTATACCCCCAAATAGTTCAGGGTCTTCTGAGTAGGAAGGGAGAAAGAGTCAGAGGTCCTGGAGATAGGGACTTGATGATTGTTGAGAGAGATGTTGGGGATGAGAAAGGAGGACTCCAAGATGAGTGGTGAATGGGAGGATGGTGGTGCTTTCCACAGAAACAGGGAGCTCTGAGGAGGCTTGTGAGGGCTACTGAGGAGTGAGTTCTGAAAATGCTGAGTGTGAGGTGTCAGGGTGACATGGAAATGATGATATCTAGCTGGCAGTTAGAAATGCAGGACTTCAGTCATTGTGGATTGAAACGTGTTTCTAGTCCTAAATGAGAGTGAAAGAATGTCTTAGGCTGGGTTCTCTAGAGAAGCAAAACCAGTAAAGCATATAAATATATTTATATAGAGAGATTTATATCAAGGAAATGGCTCACATGGTTATAGAGCCTGGAACGTCCCAAGACCATGGGTCAGGACAGAGGCTTCTCCTGATTCACGTAACCACAGGGGCTGGTGAACCCAAGATCTGCAGATCAGACAGCAGGTCTCTTGATCACATGCTGTGAAGACCAACAAATCCCAAGATCAGTAGGCAGGATGGCAGGTAAGCTGCTAGCTCAAGTCCCAAGAACTGGAGGTCGACACATAGGAGCCAGCTGCAGGAACCAGGGTGAGCAAAAGCCGGCAAGCCTTGCAAAAAGTCCACCTATATTGGATGCAGGCCACACCCCCCAGGGAAACTCTCTTTCAACTGATTGGCTTCTCACAGCAGATCACATCATGGACATGGTCACATTATGTCTAATGTCATCATGGAGATGATCACATCATCATACGACTGCCAGACTACATCGTAACTGAGAAACCACTGAGAATCATGGCCTAGTCAAGTTGACACCCAACCTTAATGATCACAAAGAGTTAATAACTTTTTATCACTTAAAAATTAAAAAAATTTTTTGGGTAATTCTTATTTCTCTACCCTCTTCCCTCCACCCCAAACCTAAAAGATAGAAGAAAAGGAAAACTTTGGCCTAGTTAACTTTGGGTAAAAAAAAAATCATGGTTACTTTTTAAAAATCTGTAGCAACTAAAATAGACTATTAGCAAGAATTCAAAATGTGGTTGGGGTTAAATGGCTCTTAGTTGAATTTTGAGATAGTGACTATGTAAACAGCTAAAAGATTCGATATTAAAAGTAAAATCTGTGGTTTCTACTTG